CTAATTGCCCAGGCTATAGTGGTAGCTGTGAATAATATTATGCTTTAATTGTTCCAATGTTCCAATCGTTTCCAGAGAAGACATTCCTGACTACTTAGATGGATTTTAGTTATATATTACTCTAGAAATTTATTTAAAGTTGTCTACTGATTATTGTTATAAAAAGATCATCGTTTATCATGTTAAGTTTATCATGTTAACTATTATTAAACCTTTGCAAAAACCTTTCCATTCTCGCATACAGAGTCCTTGTTTCGAATCCTGTTTTTTCTATTTCGAGTCCGGGTTTTCAAAAGTCAAGTCCGGATTTTCTCAAAGACGAGTACGTTTTTGTTTTCGCGTCCGGGTTTTTCTCGAGTCCGGATTTTCTTCTAGTCCGATCCGGGTTTCGAAATATGCCCCGTTCAGGTATATAAACTTTGCAAGTTCCATATCGCCATTTTTAGTCAAGGGAATGCCAGTCAATGCTTACTCTGTAAAATATTGTAACATACCAAATGATACCGAAGTGTGACAAACCAACAATGCTGTACCACATGCGAGAAAGAAAGCTTCTGATGTTTCTCTGAGACCTATAGTGTTTAGAAGATATACAGTTATCTTTTTTACGCATTCCCAACTTATAGGAAAGCACGTGTGGCAGATATACGCGCGCTGTCCTTTACCAGTGAGAAAGGTAACTTCCGTGTACTTGAAAATTCATAAATATAGTCATTTAATTAAGTCGAGTTCATATATTTGAGTGGTTGGTTTTCTCCTGTGCTTGAAAGGTTTTTCACCGGGTACTGAATTCATTCCAGACTGAAAACGAATCCTTATAGGCATCATCGTACACTGAACTAACTAAACCCTCGGAAACCTTAAGTTTGTCAACACGGTTCTAAAACCTGTTAAGGATCCCGTCCAGTGGTACACAATAAACTAAACGAAACTATAATTCCTCAGGCTTCCCATGTTATTCTGTGCAAGAATTTGTCCACGCCCTGAAAGGATATTATGCATCCACAATCCGTCTATCGTGCATACAGATTTGATTTTATCATACTAAGTATACTATTATACAACGTATATTACCTGACATCCAATAAGCAATGGATATTAAAATTATTGTTAAAATTGAATCAAGTGGAATCTAAAATAAAGTTTAAATACGCATTTTACAAATTACAACCTAATCTAAAATAAAGCATAAATACGCTGTCGCAAGAGTATAATCGTTTTCTTTGCATGAAATCGTCTGCACAAATTAAATAATAATTAAGAACTACTATAATACTGTTCCATACTCATTTGGACAATCTAAATATTACCCCGACAAGAGATTTGGCTAGGAAGTACACACTTGTACAGTATATTCCTTTTTCATTTTCTCGTAGAAATAAATCTGTTTCCACAGGAAACGTCTGAAAAGAAACATACAAATGTAAACAGTGATATCAGTGCATGTCGGTGTGAATCTTGTGCATTAGGAAGGACGAGGAACGACTGTTTTTGTTTAAGCTCGTGTTATATTCTTCAGTTAGTTTGGTCCGCGTGTAATCCCTCTACTAAATTGGCATTGCTACCTATATACTGGAACACGATTCAAAGTGTTTATGTGAAAGCAACGGCACAGCAAGGTAGTCCGCAAAATCTAAAAGCCAACACGCTCTGTGAACCTCTATATGTATAAACGACAAACCAAACTGGTAACGCGTCTAGTGAAATTTAAATGCCCTTTGTATTAGCTAACTTTTGGACTTCTTCTGCTCCACTCACATGTCCCTAGTCTGTGTGCACTCTCATGACACAACCTCCCCCTCGTACCACGAACACTATTAATAAAGAGCTATATATTTAAATAAATCTTGTTAAACTAGTAATATGCATGCACAAGGTCCATCTGAATCTGTCTGGTGTTGGTATACCTATAAATTCTCAAGCGGGGTGGGGAGAGAAAGGGGCAATTTTCCCCTGGGTTTCCAGCTAAAAGGGGCCCCAAATAAAAAGAAATTGAAATATGCGAAGAAACCACTGACTGTTAAATATACTATTCCAGGAATCCTAGATTTCAATTTTTTTCCGGGGGAGAATACTCCCAATGCGGATAATAAGGCTGCACGAGTCACTGTATATTCCTGCAGAAATACTTACAAAAAGCACTCCTTGAAATGACGAAAACGTTACATTTAAAACGAGGAAGAATAAAAGGCCAGAGAAATTTCGAACATCTTCTTGGTCTTCATCAAGTTGAAAATAAACTTGGCCGGTTATAAATCCAAGAATCTAGAACAAAATGTTCTAAAACTTTCAGATGTTGGCATCTATACAAACAGTGCGTTTATAGTGCCGTATGTACTATAACATCTACTTACAACTGCTTGAATTGTTCTTAAAAACAAAGCATTCTTGTCTCGTTTAACTGTGATGAAGGAACGCCATAAGACAACCAGGAACTGTCTGACACGGCCAGCATGGAAGCTAAAAAATTAACATAAATGTGAAATCTTATATGAGCATGCCCATGGAAATGAGGGGCAACGGTGGTAACTATACTAATCAAAGCCGGTTTCAGATGCGCCTTGGTCATCGTTCTACAGCAGTGTTCGAAAAGAGTAGATCCGATATCTGAAACAGCCCCTATAAACTAAAAATTCAGCAGCTTTTGTGCGAGCGTCGGAAAATTGGTTCTGGGGGGGGGGGACTTGTAGAAACCAGGTCATTGTGTTCATTTTGCATTTCAGGCCCCGACGAATCTGACACGTTCCTATTAAGTTATCCGACTCTCTAATCTTTTTAGGGGAAGAAAGCGACCCACCCACTCCTACCTCTTGGAGAGCTGTAGCCCCCTGTGTCAACTGAAAAAAAAAGTTTGCAAGTGATAAGGGAGGTTCCAAACTTTACTGCTGAGAAACTGTTTAAGCTCAGGGTGAGCACTTCATAACCTTTTTCTCAAACTCTCATATTCAAAGGTAATGATAGGAAAAGAAGGTAACATGCATTTTTTATTCAGTTTAATAATTGCGGTTATACTTACAATGTAGTTCTTTTATCTGGATCTTCGAATGACTCCTGTAGTAAAATGTATTTAAACAATGGATGTAATTTCATCGTATAAAGAATTACTGATAACCATCTACTTTTCATTTTCAAGACATTTCTCGTTAATGACCTGGCATTGTTCTAAGTGTAAAGATGGTTTGGTGCTATTCATGTTTTGAGTCAACTGAGTAAGAGTCGGCGCGGTAAACACTTTGTCGTTGCATTAATTGTGTCATTATTCACGAGATGATTTTTGGTTAAAACTGCTCTCAGAATGCAGGAAATAGCGTCTGTAAGCCTTATTAGATCACGCATTTTCTGGGGAACTAGCATGTCCCCAGACCCCCACCCCCTGCCCATACATTTCCCAAGCAGGATTTTTTCAAATACCAATCAGTGCTGGAATGAGTACCCAAATGTCAATGTGCTTATGGACGCCGCATTCAGAATCATGCATACTGTACATTCAAATTCTGATTCACAAGATTATAAGCGCCATTTTAGCTTAATAATTTATAATAACTAAAATCCTAGTTAAGCAAATATGCAGTAAAGCAAATTTCACTGAAAGGCATTGTTCATTCATTTCTTGTGCTTGTAAACGAAAAGATAAAAACTGTTAACGCGCATAGTTGCACGGCTGTCCAGGGGCGCCGGAGTCACGGGGGCAACTGCCCCCGTTGCCGAAACAGTGCGGGGGCGGCACGGGGGCAACAGGTTGCCCTTTTTCACCAGAACTGCACTTCGAAATTTGTGCGTTATTCACATGAATTGGAATTTATAACTATTTTTAAGCAATGTTTAAGCAATCTTTGCTTAATTTTAACCAGTTATAGTAAAATTAATGCCAGAGGCCGCGGAATCATTTTTGTATAATTATGATCAAAATCAAACAATTTTATGTCGTTCACGAGCCGAACAAAATATTTTGAAAATATGGAGCCCTATATAGGCTAACGTCGAAAATGGCCTTTACAGAGTCTTTACTACTGCAAAAAGGGCACTTTCTTTTTAGCCCCCCAAAAGAGCATTTTTTCCACTTTTACTGAAAAAGTGTGGAGGCACATGCTCCCATTGCCCCCCGGTTCCGCGGTCCCTGATTAATGCTAAATCAGGCAATATACGTCCGTTTACTGCCCGCCCTTAACATGGTGCAACAAATAAAATTGTTCAAAATTAATGTCGAAGTTTGCCGACCCACAATAGCCACAAGTAATCGAGTATCCATACGATAAAGTTTTAACAAATATTACCGCCCAGAAAAATGATGGCTGACAAGCAAGTGTCCTTTTGAAATGGCTGCCCCCGCCGCTTCACATTGCTTCCGGCGCCCCTGTGGCTGTCCTGTTTTTATCGGGGAACTGGCGAAACGTTTTAATAGAATTTCAGCGTGTTACGTGTGCCGTATATACTCACGATTGGCCCTAAAGCACTTCTTGCTCTTGGACGTATTTCAATTTCTCTATATTTGTCACAAACATACTGGAATAGAAAATAATCATAAATAAAGAAATGAAGAGCACAAGACTATTTGATATTCAAAGTAATGAATGATGTGTTACACTGCCATTAAAGATTCATTCACAGAAACATATATATAGGCCTACAAGTGGATTTTATTGGGCGGATATTGTTTACAAGAAAACTTACTTTAATTCTCTCTATGGATTGTTCATATTCTGTAGGATTGACTGTAAGTGTTCGAATAAAAAAATCCGCTGGATTATAATTTCCGGGACATGGAAATCCGATGCTATGAGAAGAAAAAGAACAGAAATGTAACAATCGCGTGAAAGTTGAAACACAGCAGGTATTGTGGATCTGCTTTGAAATGCTCGCCTTAATTAACTCATTTGTTTCTCGATAATTTTAATTGACTTACTCAAATCGGCAAGGGCAATGCAAATTGACCTGTGAAGTCTTTACGTCATGTCACTGTCAGACAATTAATATTTTACCCTTATTGCTAGTACCTACAAGTATAAGTGTGTTATTAGACAGGTTCAGATTTGACTTCCACTACCACTACCGCTACCTTAAATGTGTTACGCATGCGCAGTAACTGCAAGAGAGTGAGGAAATCGTCGCATGTTTTTGTTTTGGGACCGTAACAAAGCGATTTATGGTCGTCGGGAGAAGTCTAATCTGAACAGGTCTAAACAGTCCGTCGCGACCGCTACCAATGGAGCCGTCAAAGGTAGCGGTAGTGGAAGTCAAATCTGAACCTGTCTAATAATGCGGCTGGGAGGGCTGAGGAGTATTTCGCGAAATATAGCAGTCGCGAAATATAGTAGTCGCGAAATATGGTAGTCGCGAAATATGGTAGTCGCGAAATATGGTAGTCGCGAAATATGGTAGTCGCGAAATATGGTAGTCGCGAAATATAGTAGTAGTGAAATATAGTACCCACCCGCCTTATACACTGCAGGCAGAAGGAATTTCATGTAAGCAAACAATATAATTGTAGACACATGCATGGGATGCTAGGCATTATAATGAAGGTTCGAATTACTATGCATGGGATGCCTGGCATAAACTGATATTAGCCTATAAACAGCATAAAGACACCAATCGCTATTTCATTTTCAACCGGGCTTGATCCTCTCCTTCCAACTGCCAAGACTGAATATAAAAACTAATTCGAGAATGTTCAGTTTATTATATTTATCTCGGAATAAAATATAACTGAGGAAATAACAAACATACCTTCCAAAGTAAGAGACTGCCTCATTACTTGGTCCCAGGTATGTGATCCGACCTTCAGCCAGTATTATGATTCTTGAAAAGAGTTAAATAATAATAGTTCACAATGATGAATTCGGAATCACACTTAAATAAATTTGCACAATTGCACGATACCATAAATTTCGAATTTTGAATATTTCACGATATCGAAGCCCACCATGTGCACAAGCCCACTATACTCACTGACCCTCAATGGCCTCAAACCATTTTTGTTCATATATTAGCCCCTCCCGTATGTAAGCCCTCCTGTGTATAAGCCCACCAGCAATGATTCGCACGAATAAATATACAGGGCTTATATACGGAGGTTTTTTGGACGAATTTGCGTACGGTTCCAAATTTCTCATATGAAAGTATAGCCGGCCTAGCTCAAGTCTGTGAAATTGTGAAACGCTTTGATTCGCAGTCGGTACTAAATGCAATGGCCTTCCACCTCCGAAATCGATTGTGTCATCGAAAATCTCACTTGGAAACCTAATCCAAGGCTCCGGTGAGAACTTCTTACACAAAAGCTCTGCTAAAGCTATCGTGGGTTTTCTCCGCATATACACCGATTTCCTCCTACAGGTAAAGATGACGAAGTTTGTTTGTAATTTGCAACGATGAAAGCATTAAGCATTTCTTTTCCAAACTCGTTCAAATGTTACCAGGGATGTTCCTTCATGTTCCTAATTTGACACTATATTAGGAGAATTACTCTGAATCTCATGTACATAGCCTACTTGTTAAACAGAGCATAGACATCTGAAGTAGGTTGATCAAGAGTACATAAAATGGTGTATCCGCTATTAGCTAATCTTTGAAGTGTTTCGACCAGCATATAAGAAGAGAGTGAATCCAGACCAGAGAGTGGATCATCCGCGAACAATATGAACTTTTGATTTGACAGCAACTGAAAAGAGAATGCTTCCAATTATATTTTGGGACGGACCATTAAAAAAGTGATGGGGGGGGGGGGTCCATTTCCAACGTGTACGATTATTTTTTCAAAATTTTTTGCTTGTGTCGATTATTTTTTTTTAATAATCCCTTGCTCGAATTTTATTTTTTTTCCAAAAATTGTTGGCGAGCGGGGAAGGGGGGTGAAAAAATTTTTTCAGGACATAAAAAAAGGGGTCAAAAAAAATTTTCCGGACTAACATCATTTTAGTTAAGGTTTAAAACACATTTCCCCTGACAAATTCTTCTTAAAACATGATTAAAACGCTTTTTTGCACCAATATCTGCTACATTTAGGTTTAGAAAATTTTTCTCACATCATTACTTATATCAAAAAACGTTATTTTTTCTAGTTTTAATTTTACAAATTTGGGGGCCACCCTTACAATGTACCTCTGATAGGCCCTGTCAACTTATAATTTTCCCTATTGAAAAGTCTCTGCTCGAATTTTTTTTTCAAACTTTTCTGGTGCACGAACTTTTTTTCTGTTTCCCCTGCTCGATTTTTATTTTTGCTTTTGCCCATCACTTTTCTAATGGTCCATCCCTTAGCAGCTTGGTAAATATAAACCGACGTGCAATACAACTTAATTACTTTTAGTATATATCATTCCAAATTTAGAGTGGCCTATGGCTTGGTGGCGCACTTGCGCGTTCTTCAGAGCGAGCTGAGAGCATGGGGTCACCCGATCCGATTCTTGCTCAGATCTCAAGATATATAATAGATAGGAGAAAAGCTAATCAACTCTGCATGTCGAAAATCATGGGTTTTCTTTGACTTCTCTGTGGTAACCTTCAAAATGGACTTCACACCTGTTTTCCACTAGGCAAACTAGTTCGCGTGACACACGACTCATTTTCCTTTATTGGAATACCACATTTCCTTACCTGAAAAGCAATGCCGGTAAAGGAAAAAGTCGCCTCGCGCGAACAAATTCGCCCAATGGAAAACGAACTTAAGTGCCCGATGGAAAACGAACTTAAGTTCGGAACGGCAATGGGTTAGGCAAAATATTTAGAGACTAAAACTGCATGTTACAGTTACCAAGGAGGTACAGTTACCGAGTACAGTTACCAAGAATAATACGAATAAAACCCTACGACAACATGATTTTCGAAGTAACTGGACACTGAAAATCCCCAAGAATTAGATTCAGCATACTGCCTGTTTGCGTCTACCTTTAACTGGAAATCAAAAATTGTGATTCTAACGAGAGAGGGGGAGAGAACTCATGAAGAAATCAATGTTTAATGAAATGTTGTGCCCACCTATACAGAACTACCGAATTTTTTCCTCAGTAAATATATACAGCATTCGTGTGTTGTATGAGGTATACAACCACTCGCTTTCAGCTCGTGTTTGTATATTTGATACATTAATTAATCCAATGATGGTTAACATACCTCCGATGCGATAGATAGGCTCTTCATAGCTCCCCGTGGAATCCCATGATGTGAACCTGGAGATCCAATTTGTACATGTTCCCATTCTTTTAGACCAAACTGGTTATTTACAAACAATTTAAAAAAAACATCGCTTTAGCGTAGAAGAATAAATGGAATTTTAACTTTGTCATTGCATAGAAAATTGTGTGCACGTCCATACGCGAAAGGAGGGACAAAAATTTGCCCCACCAATCAAAAAATATTTTGCGCGCTAAACTTCCAAGCATACTGCTTTTCAACTATTATCTTACATAGGTTTTGCTTTACAATTCATTTCCCCTATTTTATCCCCAACTAAAGTTGAACATTTGCCAAACATACGTTGAAAATTTGCCCAACTTATAGACACCTTGCCCACACCCTTGGTACGCCTAAGTGCACTCTATATTTATGGTATGTATAACGAATGATCATGAGAAGAAAATAAAAAGTACGCGTACTTCTTCCATCATGGTTTCCACTCTTGACCGTTTCTCTTCACGTGATACATCACTTCCCATTCTTAATAATGCCTGAAACAATCATGTGAACGTCTGGTTAATTAATAATCTTTATACGACTCGTATATGACGGTATGAGTCCTTAAACATCGACATCGATTAAAAAACTTATAATAATATGATTATTGTTTATAAGACATTGACTTAGTTGATATAATTTACTATAAAAGTTTATTTAATAATAGTAGCTACTATACAGAGGGGCCAGGCGTAGCCACGGGGGAAATGGGGCGGGTGCGCACCCCCAACCGCTTAATGTTTTCATCTATAACATAAAATATACCATATCTGGGGCTTTCAGATTATCATGAAAGGTGTCTAAAAATGAATGAAATAGAGTTTCGCAGACCCTAAAAATAGAAACATTTTTCAGTGTACCATGCCTCCGGATGGCTGGACGATTAGACTCCCTACCCCCGCCCACTCGTTTGGGGCTAGCTACGCCGCTGACTGTATACAGCATGCATCTCATACCTGGAAGATCAAGTGCTCTCGTACTGTCAATGATCCAACAAATACGTCATTGTCTTCGACATATGCAGATACTTCTCTGATATTTATTCCAACAGGTTCTTCACGAACATACACCGTACCAGTTACTTCCAACTGCTCGATCTTGCGATGAGCTAATACATTGAGAAAGGTTGTTTTCCCTGCTCCTCTAAAGTAAGGATCGAATCAAATATTTGAAATTATTTTAGTCTCTACGTTGCAGAGATAAGGAAGAATGGAGAAGTGGGGGACAAGGAAGAAGTCTAATGAGGACATTTTAAACAGATTGAATTGGTAATGTTAAGACTAGACGTGGTACGAAAAGCCAGCTGGCTGGGAAACATCGAGAAAGACATAATTCGCGGTCAGCGAATGTTACCGAAATATGAAAAGCTTGAAAGAGTCTTATAAAGAATACCACATATTTTTGCATGAAAATTAAACTTTACCTGAAACAAAAACATGCATGGACCAACTTGAAATTATTTAGCGATTGGCCGGCGGGATCCTGTGGTTTTAGCTGGTTTTCAAGTTGCAAAATAGTTCAGTTTGGTAACATTCGCAGGTGACAAAAAGATGGACTCATATATAGAAGTATACCTACATTACCAACACCACTGCATGCATGACTGGCAGTTAGTAGTTAAAAGTACGTCACTTTGTGAACTATTGAGCCCATAGCTAGTTTTCTTGATTGAGCTGCTTGGATTTGAAAGGCAGATCAAGCGCCTTTCACCTCTCAGGTCGTGGCCGTGCATGCATGGGTTCGATTCTCGCTACGGACTCGTGTGAAAAAGTCTGTCAACGCTCTGCCTAAAGTCGTTATTTCGTTTTATTTCGAAAGGAAGAAAGTGACTTGCTTTCCCTAATTTCTTTTGGTATAGAATTCCAAATGTTTGCTCCGTCGTACATAAAACTAATTTTCATGCTATCTGTACGAGGTTTTGGTAAATAAAGACCACTTGAGACATCCTGAAGGTGGTAATTAGTTTTCTCACTCTTAAACGAAAATAGATTTGTGAGTGATTTTGGGCCCATTTTGTTAAATAACTTATACATCATTCTTGCTTTAGTTTTCTTCCTTTCAGTTTGGAGTGGCTCCCAGCCCAAAGTACGTAAAGCAATCGTATAATCTACGTCATTGCTTATATTCAGAATAATTCTTGCCGCTCTATTTTGCAGTTTTTGCAGTCGTTTTGATTGAGTTTCACCAAATTAAATCATCCCATACTTCACAGCAGTAGTCAAAGTACGGACGAACAATATTGTTATATATCAAAATAAGTGTTTAATCCGACGAACTTTCTGCTGTAACTTTTTTGCAAATATTTTCGGTATTACTTTTCCAAGATAAATGCTGGTTAATTGTTACTCCTAGAGTTTTGCATTCATGAACTTGTTTAATTTGTATATTTTCAATGTAAACATTTGGACAAGAATCAGAAATATTTTTGATCATAGGTTTAGAGCCAATCAACATAATACACTGAGGCTACATTGAGGCTAAGTTTATTGGCTATTAACCATTTTCTAAGGTTCTCTAAATCAGAATTTACTGCAGTCTCTAGGTCAGTCATAGAATTTGCTGAAGCAGTCAAATTTGTGTCATCAGCAAACAACCGCGGTTTTGTTTTGTTTAGACAATGTGGCAAATCATTGATGTACAACAAAAAGAATAATGGCCCTAATATATAGAATATACACCCCTTTAGGATATCGTTTTTACCCTCTTGGATATCACTAAAACACCTAATTTTTGCTATTTTTTTTTAAATTTCTTAAGCTGCCCTCCAGAAAAATTTAAGGTAACCCCCCCCCCCATAGGATATCCAGACCCCTCAATACGGGGGGGGGTGCCTATATTAAATGGAATGGCCCAATATATATGCCGATGAACCTCGGTATGAAACTCACCTGGGTCCAAGGATGGCAACAAGACTTTTGGAAGGAATTTCGCCATTTACTGCAAAGAAACCACATGGTTAATTCTATATGAGAGAAAGTATTCTCTTTTTGTCTCTAAACCGGCAGTGGGTGGAGGTAGATCATTTGTTGTTTGTAATAAAACTGCGCCAATATTGTTTTGAAGACGTTATGCAACTGCAACTGAATTTGCAACTGGAGTCAGAAGTATAGACCTTCCATCACTCTTTTTAAGTGATTTAAAATTCGAAGCTATAGCACTTCATATAAATACCAGAAATGACAGCCGGTCAAAATTGGCAGGTATACAAAGTTTTGAGACTATATTTTGAAAAATGTGACACTAGCGTCGTTTCTAAAAACAGGAAATGTAAATAGTGAATGAGTGGGAATTTTGCATTGAGCAGTCATGCATGCCCGTCGGGTAAATCTAAACCCGCGGAAAGGAGGGACCGCTCGCAATCTAGTCGGGGGTCGATCTCATGAAAATTCTCATGTATTTTCTGATAAAGTTTCGAAGTTCATATTCATAGGTATACGGGGCTAATGCTTTCCAGAGTTGAAAGTTTCCCGAATTTTTATGGAGGATTGTAATGAAATAACTTGAATTTAACATATTTTCTGATGTATGTGCCCGAATTTTCTTGATTTTTCCTAACATTTGCACGAATTTTGATCCATGGTTATCTAAAGTTTTGGAGGGGCCGGCAGTTGCCCTCCCTACCTCCCTGTCTCGTACCTCTATGTTCATATTGTTCACAAAACTCATTATTCTGCCCACCAATACATGATTCATGAACCACAATAATTTTTATGAATTATTCTGTACTATTTGTAGCTGAGTTATTTCGGGTCATTTACAGCAGAGTAATCAGCAAGTCGAGCCCGAGTTGAGTCAAATGGCTCAAATAGCGACTCGAGTCCCGAGTCAATAACTCGACCTGCAACATCCTTTTTTGGGTCAACATATACAATAATAATTTTGCTACTATTACTATAGATTCGCTGTTTTACATTCATACCGTTTCGGAAGAATAATATTTTATTTAGTATAGTAATATAAGCATATAATAATCATACAATGCAGTTAAATGTTCGGTTAATTAATACATATAAACCATGGTACTATCTTGGCAGAACCCCTGCCGATGCCATATCGATCATGCAAGGTACTCTATCCACTTGCAGTGAACAAAATCTAACTATATTTGCATTTATACTTGAATACATAAACTCTGATTACCTCCATTTAAGATTTGGTTGACGACAAATTCAATGTTTCCCCGACCCCGCTTTAAACATCGATCAAAGAATCCAGTTTGCTTATGTACAAACACATTAATATCCTCCCAACCGAGCACAACTTGACGTTCGAATGTCGAAGATAAATCAAAACTTTTCTTGCTAGTATCAAATGTATTTATTAAACTGCTCTGCTTTCTTAGACCAGAGTTTGTATAACTACCATTCTCATGGCTTCTCACGTTACGGTTGCTATCGCTTGAACCGTTGGATGGGTACATATGGGGCTCGTACTCATAGTCATCTTCAGATAAAAGTCGATCTCTATCCATATCGTTTGCTGACGACTTGTGCCACGTTGAAGCTCAAATTTACAACCAAATAATTATGATGCTGGCGGTTTTAGTTACTAATACGTAGTATATGAATACAGTATGCAAATAACATCGGAGAATCACCACCGAACCATGAAATGCTATATATGTAAAGTACTAAAGGGCAATATAAAATAATTTTGTTTCGAGAAAGAAAAATAAAAAGGAAGTGGGGATTAAGCTCCACTGCATTTATGGACATAGCGACAAAGACTAAAGACAGAGATTTAGAATTACGCACATGTAGGCCCTCCCCGATTGTGCTCGGCAACTTTTTAGCAACTTTTGGCGTTTGGAGCAACTTTTTTCGGTTATAGTAACCTCAAGCAACATTTGCGTTTCAGAGCAACTTTTTTGCAAATTGCAGGTTTACTGTATAAATCATCAATCATTTTAGCCAAAAAATTAAAAGATTTGATAAATGATAATATAAAAACATTTTCTGATGATAATTTATTACAGTGTAATGTTTTAATATCGCAGTATAGTGTTTTGATCAAACTACCTGTCACTGACAGGTAGTTTTAAGGTCAAACAGCAAACTACCTGTCACTGACAGGCGTCAGCCTTTACTTTGTAATTGGTATTATTTACTAG